ACCCTGAGATGTAAGCAATTTCCAGAAGATCACTGCAAATTAGCATACTGATCGTGCTTTTGACATATACGTCCCGTCTGATGAATAACGTCCCCCACATAATCCTGATCAGGTACCTTATCGTGGCAAGGGAGTAGCAACAGATAGGTAGTGCCGCGACAGGAAGGGGCACAATTCCTTGCAGCTCCAAGCACATACAAATGCAAAACACAGGTTATAATTATCTATGGTGCATGTGTGTATGTTTGTGTTTGTGTGTGTGCGTGTCTGCCTGGGGATTTCAGTTCGGCAACCAAGCTAGCTTCGATGCTGAAATTTTGCCGGCGGGTTCCCTGGACAGGCGCCAACTCAAGAAAGCGGCATCAATCATTTATGTACATCTGAGTCTTACTCACGTGCACGAAAAAGTCGGTGAGAAAACTGCTCACTGAACAGCTAGGTCAATTTCAATAAACGCCAGTTCGACAGTTGTTCATTTCCTTTTCTGCAAAATTTACAGTGATTTATACTAATGAGTATACAAGCTAAATGTAAAGCAACAACCATTTATGCAGTTAACGATCTAACTGTTTCAAGTTTAGTACAAACGCGCATGATCGCACTGGCAAGACTGATACGTTTCAGCCTGGGTTAACTTTGAAAAGCATATTTGAAAAGAACAATGCTCGCTTTTCAGGAACCTGTCGAACAAGAAGAGACCACGACATTTCCCAATGCTTTTGGCGTCCCAGCTCGTTCGATTTTAAAGCCTCTTGCAATTCGAATACAAATGGATTCAGCTACTGCACAACCAAACTAGGCCGATATACAATCATCACGTGCTTCTGGGATTAGCGCGTGATACCAGTGCTGGGAAATACAAAAATTTTATTATCCAGATGTGCTCTTTAGTCTCTTAAAATAAATGCAAGGGAGCTGTGTCTCAGGACAGTAAGCCAAACATTCGGCTACGCATATATTACACGCACTCATACGTATGAACGAAGGCAAATCTGCCCCACTACATCACACCGGGGATACCAGTTCTCGATCAGACAATCAATGTGGGTATCCTGTGTTAGTGATGCCACTGAATCCTCCATTCGTGAGTTGCACACCTTCAGTTAATACCTCTCGCCTGTTTGGTGTATGTGCGCCATCTCTCCGAAGATTCTTTGTTCTGTACCAATCACATCGAAAAATCATTTAAAACCCTTGAATCCTTTCTCAGAATCGTTGTATTGTCACAGACACTTCTTCTCGAGAAAACGTTTTTTCATTTTATCCACGTTTCCGTTGCCCATACAGCTAGTAACATTCGTGTTTAGCTCACTTTTAAGTTCCCCTTATTCACATAATTCCATATAGCCGTTCAAGTGCAACCGAGGATCTTTCGATTGGTCGTCTAAATACTCTGAAGTGTCTGACTTGTATGAATTGCTTTCATGTACACGCTAAAGAAATTTCAAAATTTAATTGATATTTAAGCAAAAATGCACAGGGAATAGGAAAGGCAGTAACAAAAAACACACACAATCACTAAATTAATCCCACACTGCGGAACCACAAGTTGTGTCACTCTAACGTAACTTTTTTTTGCACAAACCAAATTTTTAATCTTTATTACAGGTTTGGAAGGCTTATATCAATATATATATATATATATATATATTTGCACATATTTATATAAATGATTTTAATTTCTTCCAGTCTATATTCGTGTGTGCGTTTTTTTTACTTTACTTTTATCCACTTATATCCATTTAAAGCGTCCTCAGCCCTCTGGATTTATCCACATTTAATCGGTGCTGTCTTGTTCACTCTCCGAAGATGTGCTGGAAGTTTCGGATGAACTTTCTGTGGTGCCAGATTCTTCGTCGTTTTCTGATGTGGCCGGTTTTAAAGCACTCGTCGTTGCTTCACTGACATCAATACCGGCGCAGTCAAGCAATCCAAAATTGCATCGTTCAAACATCAAATCCAACAGTTTTTGTTCTTCCGTCTCATCCGTCGTTTCTGCTTCCTCAGCATGTCGTACAGCCTCTTTTAGCCAGCGCTGCAAAACCATATTAACTCGTGCTGGGAAATTTTTCACTTAAAATTGAATTATTTTAGCGTCAGAAATTTTTTGCATAAAATAATTTAAGCTCAAGAAACGGCATTGTTTGAAACGAGGTATTGATGCTTAATTAGAGCCCGTCAAAGTGCGAGAAAACCGTTGAGCTGACAATCCGTTCAGGAGACTAAACAAACGTCATAGTGTCCGGGAGACTGAGCACCAGGTGATGCAGTACTGGCCACAGCAACTGGGAACGCTGTCAGCTGCATAAATAAAAGGACGATGTTATGAGACTAATTCAAAAAATTTATCAAAGAGTATCAAAAAAGTGATATATTAAGGCAATCCACACAAAAAAAAACAACTGGACTAGCTATTTGGCAAGGGCAAAAAGAAAGACTTAGAAAGAGGGAGCAAGAGATAGCTAAGCTTATCTAACAGCATCCTCGCGACATTAAACAAGTAGTGCTTCATTGCCAATATGAGGGAGCGATTCGCTTGAATGAGTAAGTATGGAGTTACTTTTAATAATTACATCATAACGATCGTAGTAACGAGGTCCAGGTGCGGTATCGATTTAATGAACCGGAAAATTCCTTTCCAGAGCATATCTTACCTCTTTTACTAATTTTTATGCACAACCACTCTTAACATATTGTGCTCTTTTAGCTCTGCTTTATTTTCGCTAACTCTTAGGTTAATTTAGCAATTACATAACTGGATTTTCGGTTGCTCTGTTATTATAAGAATGTTTATCACTTCGGCTAATATTAAATTACTATAGGTTTGAATTTAGTAATTCAGAGTGATAATATTATACCCTTATATATGAATTAATGGACCGAAACATTCCTCTTCAGGTGCTTCCCCTCTGCCTATTGCTTTACAAAAATTTTTTGGGTGAATTATTTACTTCGGTTATTTATAATTACCTTAGCCTTTTACTATTTCCATCTCTCCAATCATCGCTAAACATTATTTTTCATTAGATGGATGCTTCAAGCTCAAAGTAGAGGAGTGGAGAATTTGCCAGGTGTATCAATGATGAGAATGAGCATAACTCTGATCTCGAATCGATTGAAAAGTTAAAAAATTACTTGAAAATGATTGGACTGCTCTGTGAATTTGCTCGCGGACTTCTGCATTGGAGATGCCCCAGCGGCCAATCTTTTCACGACGGGCGATTCCTGCGGACTGCTGTGCAAGGTGATCGAACTCGACGATGACGATGTTGTGTTCCAGATGCTTCGCTCATCCAGCCTTTTCGATAGCGCCAATATGCGTGACTGCATGTCACTACATTTCTCCTGAAAATCTGACCAGATGTAAAAGTACTTAGAAATCGATACCTGCCAGGCAAAAAAGTACTTGAAAGTGGTAAAAATAGCACAGAGGGCACTATGTATGTCAGAAAGTGATATTTTTGAGGCAAAAATTCTCAAAAAAATTCGTCAGATATAAAG